TCTCAGTGCAGTGCTCGTGCCACGAGCAGCCACCGTCACGGGCGCACCGCACCACAGCACGCACGCAGCACACAACAGCACCACACGGCTAGCCATCATCACATCCAGTAGAGCCACCTAACACTGTGGAGCCGCCCTGCAAGAGCATGGGAGAGCAAAAAGAAACAACGCCGCTACACCACACACAGCCACCGCACAAAAACAAACGGCAGCAGCAGCAGCAGCAGCGCACAAAACATTACGCAGATGGAATCAGTACCAAACCAAAACACGCACACAGTCCCGCAAAACAAGAGTTAAACAATAAATGAAAAAAGAAGATTAAAAAAACACACAAGGCCCAAGTGCGCATGCATATGAGTGTGTCTGATGCGTCCAACGTGACGGATGTGGGAACAACGCAGAGCACACAGCACGGCAGCAGAAGCAAAAAAAGCAAAAACAATCACCATTTTATATTACATGGTACTTCGGATTAATAAAGAGGAGCACCAATCACTGCAGTTGTGTGCCGGCACTCACAGCCCACACTTCCCCTCAGCACAGACTGCTGTAAGCCAGCACGGACACCGCGAGCACCAGCGGGGCATAAACCCACGCAGGGCTGCTGGGACTGCCGTCAATTTTGCGAAGAAGTGGCGGTGCGCGGGTGGTCCTCGTAGTTGGCGCCTCTGTAGTCGTAATGCTTGGCGCCTCCGTGGTAGTGGTGGTCGCAGTTGGTGCTTGTGTAGTGGTCGTCGTGGTCGTAGTCGTTGTAGTTGTTGTCGTCGTAGTGGTAGTCGTGGTGGTAGTCGTTGTGGTCGTCGTCGTTGTGGTCGTAGTGGTGGTGGTAGAATTGTTCTTAACATTAGCATTCCCTGTCACACATACGGACGGGCAGCAGCACAAGGCGAGCACCAGCAGGGCGCACAGCAGACGGCACGTCATCATCATCGTGAGTGTGGTCGTTCAGTGGTGTGGAGCTGATCTGCACAGTGAGGAAAATGGAGAGCAACAGAGGAGAAGAGAGGTGCGGCAGACACACACGGAGGGCAAACCACACAAGACGAGAGAGCAGCAGCCAGGCGTGCACCGTACGCCGCACAGCACGCACGACACACACTCCAATCCGCGGCAACAGGCACACACAAACACACAAAGTCATGCAGCGAGAACAACACACAGATGGAGGAGGGAGAGACCAGCAAGGGCGGCACACAAGGCCCCACCACATGTACTACACATGGCGAAGGCGTCTGTCGTGTCCGCACCTCTCACGGACGGCCTTCACGCAAAAGTGGAGGCGCAGCGCCCACAGCAACAAAAAAGCAATGAAACAAGAAAAAAGCAATCCCCGCACACCACGAGAATTCATGTTCCACGGTAACTGCAGGCAATATTCATCACAAGGACAATACAGTTTCCTCTGGCCTTCTCTCGCCTTCAGAACACGCCACTTCATGCAAGCGCAGCCACCATCGCGGCAGCAGCAGCAGCACACACACAAGAAGCAAAGTGAAGGAGTGGACTGGGTGACCGCGGTGCTGCGGTGCTGCCGTCACCGTCGCCAGTAGCTGCCGCAACATTTGCTCTGGTGGTGGTCGCCGGTGCTGTCCCGAAACCTCCATGAACGTCTTTCGAGTAGCATCGGTGTTCTCACGTCGGCGTTCCTCTTCCGCCGTTGCAGCATCAGCCTGTTGAGTGTTGACGGAAACCTTCTCGGGGCACGGCCCACCTCGATGGGTGACAGTATCATCTTCACTTCGACCGGGAGATGACTAGGGCATTTGACCTGGACCCTCGGAGTCTGTATGCCGCGTGGTACCAGAGGGGTTGGAGCTTCCTCTGGCTTTGGTGGACATTCGGTTGTGCCCCCGCTCTGCTTTTCATCCAGTGATGGTGGACGCAGCCCCGACACCTGCTGCTGGGTGCCGAGCGA